GACTATTTGTAATGTGTAGCATTTTTTTAATGCAGTGAGTTACTTAGTAAGGCATCCCTGATACTCTATTTTCTTGTTTCTCAGATAATGCATTATTTTTTGCGTAAGACAAATCAAAACAACAATTGTTCTTTGCATTGAGATGTGAACTGACTTATGGTAGAGCCAAGTAGATGACCTTGTAAACTTAAATTCATTTTTTTCCTTTTTATGGACAGCTTTACATTTCTGTGTCTATATTATCTTTTACGATGGAAATAGAACATTATTATAAGCTGGGAATTAAGCTCAAAATTGATCTCCCTGTAGCCATTCTGAATGAAGGGCCTTCACAAATGCATTTGTGAGTCAATTTTGAATTGACTCTACCTACTTTGTGGTCCAGATGTTAAGGATGATTCAGTAGTAGCTAGCTTCAACTGAGGAGATATAGTTATAAACAATAAAATACCCAGAATTCATATGTGCAGCTATCCTATCATGTCTGAAGACACTGTCTCACTGCGCACATCTTGTTTCCTGGGCTCTAACAAATTTCTTCTTCTGTACCTTTCCCTGAATGTTGGGATAGGGGTTGTGTTGTGATGTATCAAGTGGGGTTGAACACCCCAAAGACGATTCTCTACGGTTTAGACAGTGTACATTGCTACATTGGTTTCTGCATGTTGTGAAAACAAGTCTCTTTGAAGAGGAGTAATCTTACCTGAAATCACCCAAGGCTGCACTCCCATATGACGTGTCATATGTAATTAATGACTGCTGTGAGGGAGTTTCAGAATTCTCCAGAAACAAGGCCCCTGATAGGTATCCAACTCCATGTGGTCAGTACTAAACATGTATATACCAATGAACAACACTTACTGAACTCAGTAGAATATATACGCATATGTGTGTGTGTGTGTGTGTGTGTGTGTGTGTGTGTGTAATAATAACAAATAAGAAGATGTCTTTTGATGGAGGGTAGAGTAAAGGAAGTCTACTGGCTTTGCCTTTGAGAAACAGGTAAGTCTGGACATCTTCGTATTGAGGAGTGATAGAAGTGTCCCACAAGTGATGTCCTGGCTTTAAATACATAGATATGTTAGGCAATTGATCAAATGCAAGGACCTTGCTAGTATTGAAGTTTTAGGATATATGCTTTGTGCGCAGAATCTTACAACCTTCTTTTACCTGTCTACTTTCACTGAGCTCAAGACTGAGCTGCTTAGGGTCAGATGGCCAAATCTATTTCAGTACCTCAGGCTTGTGTTTGTGGTATGGAAGGCGTGTGGTCACTACTCAAGGTATTGGCTATGCTTTGTTGCTCATTTCCCCTATGTGTGGCTTACTTAAGAGTCTGAACATCCCTGGTAGCAGATATTCCACACAATACACTATCTCATCCTTCCTCAAGCACTGCTTTCTCAGCATCAGGAGACATGCTGTCACTTCCTTCCTTCCTCCCTCCCTTCCTTCTTCCCTCCCTCCCTCCCTCCCTTTCTTTCTTCCTTCTTTCCCTCTCCCTCCCCCTCCCCCTCCCCTCAACATGGTGTCCTGCTGCTCTGTCAAATCTAGATGAGAAGTCAGGGCCAATCATGATGTTCCAGTTCCCCCAAACATAGGAAGCTTAGTATATCTGATACATTCCCTCACTGTCTGCAGTCAGGGGATAAAGGAAGAGCAGTGGTGTGCAGTACAGGAATCTGCTACCCAACATCCCAAACTCCAGTTCTTCCTCTTTCCAAATTCCCTTTACTTTCTTGGCAGCAGCCTATGCTAATCCAATTCTGCTTCATTTGTCTCCTGATGCACACAGAATGTCTGGCCCTCTACCAGGCCCCCTTTGTGCTAGGTATTTCGGTATTTGGAGCCTTTGTTCTCAATTTAATATTAGCGATCTGAATACTGTCTATTTGCTTCAGGGGTGAGTGTGAGCAGCTTTTGGTCTATAAAGCTAGAAAAACATTTTTATTGATATTTTTCAAAGGTATGTTGCAATCCTAAAGATCCTAAATCATTCAACATCTTGAACTTGGGAAGCACACAATAATTGTGTTCATTTGTTAGCTATTACATTGAAAATATTTAAAATATATACATGTATATGTATATGTATGTATGTATGTATTTATGCATGTATGCATGTATTCCTGAGTTCAGGTGCCCATAATTCTCAATCACCAGAGATACCAAGCCTGTGGATTTTATAAATGGTGAGGAACGTGGATTACAGGGACGCCAAGTAGAGTCACAAAAATACAAGATTCTATGTTAAAATAAAATTCCATATGAATCCAGATACTTCTCAATGTGCCCCATTCAGGTTAACAATGTGTGATTTTTTTAGTAGGACCCACATATTGTGTGCTTGTCCTGTGTTGTCTGACCTTCCTGTGTGTCAAGGACTTGCTCTTCTCCATTGAGATTTAAAATGAATTCCCTTTCCTCTAATGTCAAGGATCACACTAAGCTCTATCTGCTCCAGGCTAAGTAATTACCTATTTAAAATAGTGACTTGGGATGAGTTAGATGGGGATATGGAGAGTCATTTATACCAGGCTCCTTCTGTCAGCTCATGGGAACAATACGAGTAGATGAAAATAGTATCTGAGTTTTCCATATTGGTGTCTGTCTGATCCCAAAGGATGTTAATGCCCTAAGGCTTGGGGCATACTCTCTTTCTGTAGGAAGGATAAGAAGTGTGTCAAACCTTGGGAAGATTTATAATTAAACTGCTGTAGCTGTGATGTTAGACTTTGTGATTAGTGTTACATCTGTTACAAAGACCCAATTTCATAAGGAAAACATATGGCAGCCTTTCCATGAAATTATTGTGTTTATAGTATTTATTTATGTTAAGTTACAAGTTACTAGCACTTGACAGGCTAACTTTAGAGGACCAGTCTCTATTTAGAAAATGTGCCGTGGCATAGAAGGAGTGTTACTGCCTACTTGATCTTTGACTTCTCTGATGGCATCAGTCATCATTAATATTTCTTTCTGGACTATATGTTACTCCTGGGAGTTGATGAACCCATAGAAGGTGATACAAATGTTTACAAGTAGGAGGCATTTTGAGTTCAAGGGAGAGAAACAACATATTTGAGGGTCTGCTAGAAGTTGGGAATATGCGTTGTTACTCTAGACAACACTGTGGAGATAGTGAAAGAGAGAAGTAATTTTGTTTGGGTTGTAAAATTTATTTGATTCTGAAAGTATTTCATTTGATGAGACTCTTCTTAATTTTCCTCACAGATTTACATTGTTTTTTCAGGAATCTGAGGGAAAAACAAATACTAAGTTAACTTCTAACTAGAAATGTACTTGATAATGTCTCATATAGCTAATAATTTTATTACCTTTTATACTGTCACCACAATCTCTCCTCAACATTTTCAAGATTTTATTTATTGAGGGATGCCCACCTAGCATCACACATACTATATATTGAATTTCATATTTAAAATATTAAGAGTCTCAAGATTTGAAATTCCATACCCATCAAAATTATCACACGAGCAAAATTCTTTTTTTAATTTTTTTATCTTCAAAGTATTTTTTAAATTAGTTTTTATTTAAATTAAGAAGAATCTTATTTTACATACTAATCCAAATTCCTTCCCCTGCCATCCTCCCGTTCCCCCCATCTCCCCCCATCCCACCCTCTATCCACTCCTCAGGAAGGGTGAGGCCTCCCATGGGGACTCAATGCTTGTCACATGATTTGGGCAGGACCTTGGCCCTCCCCCATGTATCTGGTCTGAGAGAGTATCTCTCTAAAGGGAATGGGTTCCCAATGTCCATTCCTGCTCTAGGGATAAACACAGGTTCCACTGCCAGAGGCCCCCAACTGACATCCATATTCAGGGGGCCTGCCTTGGTCCTATGCTGGTTCCCCAGCTGTCAGACTGGGGTCTGTGAGTTCCCACTTGTTCAGGTCAGCTGTTTCTGTGAGTTTCCCCAACATGGTCTGACCCCTTTATGAACAAAATTCTTATGCTAGAATATTTTGGGCATTTTCTGAGGTGATCTACTTAGCAGCAACTTTAAGGATGTGTGCTAATTGACACTTATTTCTTAGAAATTTTTCAACACAGATTCTTGTTCTGCATTTGTAGACACCACAAGGAAAGGTACTCACTCTCCACCCTCTGCCATGCATCCTGGTTATATCACCCGAGAACTTGGTGCCTTTTCAGTGCTTACAAAGCCTGGGGCTCCTGCTTTCTTATTCATAAATAGAGGATAATATTAAAAATGGTTTTGAAACATGTTTAGATGAAAAACCATACCAATTAAATTTAAGGAATACATGTTAGCATACACACAAATGCACATACACTCATATATGTGTATGTATATCCTTTGCAATGGAGTCATGAAGTACTTTTACAGTGGTGTGTCAACTGTTTTCCTCCTCTGATCTGGAAGAGAGTGGTCAATGCTCCTGTGTTAGATTTTGGTTATATTAGATTGTTATGTGGTATCTGAATAACTTCTCCCATAGGAAAAGGGTGTGTGGTGTGTGAAGATGTGTTCTATGTGTGACATGTGCAGATGTTTTCTGTATGTAGTGTGTGCAGATGTTCTCTGTGTGTGATATGTGCAGATGTTTTCTATGTGTGGTGTGTGCTGATGTTTTGTATCTGTGGTATGTGCCGATGTTTTCTGTGTGTGGTACATGAAGATGCTTTCTGTAGGTGGTGTGCTCTGATGTTTTTTTGTGTGGCACATGCAGATGTTTTGTGTGTGTAGTGTGTGCTGATATTTTCTGTGTGTGGTGTGTGCTGTTGTTTTCTGTATGTGGTGTGTGCAGATGTTTTCTGCGTGTGATACATGCAGATGTTTCCTGTGTATGGTGTGTTTGGATGTTTTCTGTATGTGGCACATGCAGATGTTTCCTGTGGGTGATGTGTGCTGATGTTTTCTGTGTGGAGCAAAGCACACTCAGCTTAGTATTACTTGAGTGTAAAGTCATCTGCTTCTGTAACCATGGTTTAATCATCTCTCTCATTCTCCAGATCATCTTCCGTAAAATCAGTGACGTGAAGAAGGAGGAGGAAGAGCGACTGCGGCAGAAGAATGAGGTTACTCTCAGCATCCCTGTGGACCACCCAGTGAGGAAGCTCTTCCAGAAGTTCAAGCAGCAAAAGGAGCTGAGGAACCAGGGCTCGGCGCAGAGCGACCCTGAAAGGAGCCAGCTTCAGGTAGAGAGCCGCCCTTTGCAGAACGGAGCCTCCATCACAGGTACCAGTGTGGTCACCGTGTCACAGATTACCCCCATCCAGACATCTCTGGCCTATGTGAAAACCAGTGAGTCCCTTAAGCAGAACAACCGTGATGCCATGGAAATGAAGCCCAATGGTGGTGCCGAACAGAAATGTCTGAAAGTCAACAGCCCCATCAGAATGAAAAATGGAAATGGGAAAGGGTGGCTGAGGCTGAAGAACAGCATGGGGGCTCACGAGGAGAAAAAGGAAGACTGGAACAATGTCACCAAAGCTGAGTCAATGGGGCTGTTGTCGGAGGACCCCAAAGGCAGTGACTCAGAGAACAGTGTGACCAAGAACCCGTTAAGGAAAACAGATTCTTGTGACAGCGGGATTACAAAAAGTGACCTTCGTTTGGATAAAGCCGGGGAGGCCCGGAGTCCTCTAGAACACAGCCCTATCCAGGCTGATGCCAAGCATCCTTTTTACCCCATCCCTGAGCAGGCCTTACAAACCACACTGCAGGAAGTAAAACATGAACTCAAAGAGGACATCCAGCTGCTGAGCTGCAGAATGACTGCCCTGGAAAAGCAGGTGGCAGAAATTTTAAAACTACTCTCAGAGAAAAGTATACCCCAGACCTCCTCTCCAAAACCCCAAATGCCACTCCAAGTACCTCCCCAAATACCGTGTCAGGATATTTTTAGTGTCTCAAGGCCGGAGTCACCTGAATCTGACAAAGATGAAATCAACTTTTAATATATAAATATATATACATATATATTTGTCAATATATTTAAAATGGTATATACATCTATATACATATGTGTGTATATATAGTATATACATATATATTTTCACTTGCTTTCAATATGATGAACACGAATATGGATTTTGATATGTACATATTGCATGTCCAGCTGGATTCTGGCCTGCCAAAGATGATTATTCAAAACATAGATATTGCTTGTATATTATGCAGTTGACTGCATGCACACTTTACATTTATTTACAACCTCTATTCTGTAATAAAAAAAGTATGAATTTTGTTAACTAAGGCAATGTAATCTTTGAAGAATCAGGGTCCAACCTGCCAATGTTGCCATGACAAACTTGATCTCAGGCTGAGTATATCGAGCTGTCATTTCCTCACTCTTCTGTTTAGTTAAAATTACAGATTAATGTCAAGGGAGAGTTCAGCTTCCGAAGCCGTCAGACCATTTTATGATCTCATGCCATAGAGTATTTTTCTGTAACTTAGTGTTAGGTTCTTTTTCCTTACAGGCAATGTTTGCTCCATTGAAATGACTGTGTCTTTGCCTACATCTGATGCCGGTGTCAGATACCGAGATCTTATTGCTATGGGTTTTGTGCATGAACTGCATTTCCACTCAATGATACCTCTACTTTTTAGCATTGTATTAGATAGTAATCATTAGCTCTTATGTAAAGAATTCCCTGCTCCCTCCGTCTTGGAGAACAACTGTCATTTTGGGAGCTGACATTATCAACACCATAAATACTCAATTGTTAATATAGTGTATATTATTATAGAAACACTGCACCACAGGGTATAAGAGCCTTTTAACAATGTGTTAGATATGCTGATTGTCCAAAGGCAGTGAATGTTCTACATTTATATTTCCATAGCTTGTTCAATGGGGGTGTTGAAAGGCTCTTAGCAAAGATACATATCAAAATTTTAACTAATGATATAATTTTTAAAGAAGAACATAAGCAATTAGACATGTTTTAATTGCATATCCGTGGCTTAGAAAGAATGAAATATAGGTATAGAAATACTAACACATTATTTTTATTGTTTGAAGAGGTGACACATGAGTTGTGGTTAGCTTACAAAATAACCAACCTAGAAGACAACAATAAGTTGCTTTATTCAGAAAGCTGCTTTCCTATGACTTTATTCTGGGTATAAATTTCCCTAAGCTTTGGCACACAGTAGCATTAATGGCCTTCTGTTGGGTTGATACAATAGACCGTTATGACTCAGGCAGATCCACTCAAAAGGATTATGGAGCTGAATGTTGTAGTCTTTTGGGTAACAATTCCTCTTCTGAGAAAGTGCCTATTGTCAACCAAAACAGATATTTAGGCCCTCAGAAATGAAATGCATACCCATCTTGAGAACCCGTGGAAGCTGTTTCTTATGAAACCAGAATGTTTTCTGAAGTTCTTTCTGGGGGGTTGCTTTTCCAGTTGGGGCAGGCATAACGTTTAATATCGAGACTAAGGAAGCTACTGTTTGCATTAATCTGAAAATGTATGCCAACCACTTATGTATTGCTAAGCTACAAATATACATGCATTATATATACCTATATATACAGGTGAATATACAAAAGATGGTGACAAAATCAAGGAAAATAATTTGCTCTTTTATATATAATTTTATGTGTTTTCTATCTCCTAGTCTCTCTAAAATTATAGAGAGAAGAGCTTCCATAGTCACACTGGAGAAATACAAAGCAGTAATCCTTTTTAAAGTTCTTCCCATGTTCCTAAAGTGTGCCTCTTTGTCCTAGGACTTCTGGAATGTGTATTAGGTACAGTGGGTTATGATTGCTTTCCTTTCCATTACTCAAAATGGACATTTCCAGGGCTATATATCTCTATATTCTGCTAAGATACCTACCTGACCCACAGAAAAAAGGAAATGAAATTACAGAATCAGCCTTAAAATTGAGGTTTGGGGAGCCTGTCTGTTTTCACTTTCATACTGTGGAAGATACCTTGTCCTTCTAAGACTTACTGAGTTTCAGAGTGTTTTCTTATTTGTTTAAGTCAACTGTGACAAATACCTTTAAAGTTGAATGGGTGATTAAAAAAAACAAGAGCGTGGAAATCATTGTTATGACTTTAGCTGCATTCAAAACTAACAGCTGGTGTCAAGCTGTGAAAGGGTCACTGATGCAGGGAACTGATTTGAAGTGTAATGCATGCCTTTTTATATTAGGCTTACAAACCTTTGCCAGGATCTGACATTGACTCAGACAGTTTTAGCTCACAACCAACAAAATTAACCATAATGATATTTCTATCTAAACACACGTTCCCATAGGTGGGAAAGAAACATAATGGTTTTGAACTACACTAGGCCATCAATAGGGAGGGAAAGTATCAATTGCTTATTTGATTGGTGCAGCTCCCACAGTATTCTTTTCCAGACCCTTGTCCTTTGCATGCATGACACGATGTGGTGCTGAATACTCTCTGCACATATTCAGCAAACATTGTATATAGTCTTATGTTTCCAGATTTTAAAATTCTTCACAGTAGAATTTAGTCAGATGTTAACAAAGGGTGAATGCTTGCTTGCACACATGTGATAATGATACAATCACAATCTGTGTAGCCTCAACCAGCACACAGACAGTACAGACTCATTGCGGGACCAGATGACTGCATGTTTTATTCCTACACTGTATAGGTGCTCTTCGTGCATCCAGAATTTTTTTTTGTTATTGTTATACTTCAGAACAATGTACTAATAGGACTAAGTGGATATGTATTTGAAATGCAAACATTTTGCAAAGCAACTTATACATCTTTAACTCTGTTATGATACTATGAATATGTAAGATGAGACACTGTTTTGAGCAGGTGATTGTGACATGATAGCAAAAGTCCAATGTAAACAGAATTGTAACCTTTACATCAGAGCCAGAAGGTTTGCTGGCCTGTATCAGGATAATATTGCACTAAATCTGATTTGATAGACAGAAGAGCTCTAAATAAAGGGCAAATAGAAACCCCAAAGGTAGAAAATAACATCAAAGCTCCCAGTGTCTCCCATATATATGAGTGACTTTGAAATAGTTCAGGAGTAGTGGTTGAATTCACACCTTAACTTTATTCTTTAAAGGAAACCTTTTACTACAACCCTGGTCGCATCTCGCATTGGGTACAAGGCTACAAAATGTCCTGAATATTAAGAAAAGTAACTACAACTTTGCATAGATCAGAGGACAGAGGGCATGAAAATGTGAGTTTTTAAATGGCTCCAGAACAAAGACCTTAGTGGTACCCAGTACTTTAATAGGAATGTTAAATATAACAGCAAACTAAAGTGAAATTTTGAAAATTAACCTAATTGGAATCCAAATACATGTCACATGGAATTTAAGGAGATATTGCTTAACTGTGAGGTCCAGGAAACTGTGGAATTCTTTTGGAAAAACCTGTTGGGTTTTTTTTTTTTTTTTTTTTTTTTTTTTGTTTTGTTTTGTGGTTTTGTAAGTTAATCTTCAAAGAAATGACTGGAATTGTGAAATTGTCCTTTTTAAAATTTTTGAGATTATAATTTAATTACAATATTTCCCCTTCCTTTTCCTCCCTCCAAACCCTTCCATACGTCCCTCCATACTTTCTCTCCTTCAAATTATGGCTTTTCTTTTCACTAACTTAGTTATTGCTGAATTTTGTTACCGTATATCATTTCTCTTTTTAAAGTTATTTTCTGAGTCTTTCCCCCGCCTAAAGTTTCATGCAGAGGTTGAGAAAATATGTCTAGAGCTACCACACACAAACACCTCAAAAATGAGTATTTTCTTGGGTAAGTGCTGTACTTTGATATCTCTCTTAGATGTGAGTATTGCTCCTGGAATTCTGTCTGGAAGTGGGGAGAAGAAAGTATACTTAGATTTTACACATCATTAAGTGCCATGCAGGATTCTGATTTTAGCTCTGTCAATCTAGCAAAGCTTATGTAGTCATCTGTCTTAGCATGTTGTGTTCCTATCTCCATTTTCAAATAATCAGTACTAAAGCAAAAACTCGAACTACTCCCATGTTTTATGAAGCTGTTATTAGGTCAAGGGGTAGTAGGTTTTCTTCCAAGGGAAAACCACATAGGCCATTTGAAAGGCACTAAAACCTGCTCAGGTTTTATGTCCTTAGTTACAGTGTTTTAATTAGGAAATTGATGGGATTGTTGTTGTTAGAATTAAAAAAAAAAATCTGTGTATATTACATAAACACTTGATTTTTGAACATAAGGCTCATTTTGTTAGTGTTTTCTCATTCTGCAAAGAAGCCTTTGTCCTCAGGGCTCCTCATAAAGTCTTATTGCTGTATTTGCTGTACTGGTTCAGTGTAAGACAATAACAAGAGCACTAAGCACAAAGGGGACTTTTTTTGTTTTTTTTTTTTACTTCAACGGAAAAAACACTTATGTTGAGATCTCTTACTGAATTTTCCTAGGATTCTCACCTTACTTCAATTTAAAAATGTGCTTAATAGACTTTACTAAGAATATTTTGAAATACACATAGATAACAAGCATAAAAAATAATTAGCTTTAAATGACTTTAAAAATTAAGAATTAGAGTCAAGGGGGTTTAAGGGATGGTCAGTCATTGGTCCAACCTCTTTGCTATCTACAGCAATCCTCTATTTATTTACTAAGTGATTAGTAATATTTATACTTTTATCTATTAGTATTAGTCCTGTGGCATTACAACTAACTGTTGCCTTTCATACAAATACATATTTTCAATCAGTTTGCTTTGAGTGTTAACTTATGCACGCAGCCTGGGTGCTTTAGCGGCTTACATAAGAAAACCATTGCAATTGCAAAAGGACAGCTATCTGTTTTAGAGCTGATACAGATTGCTTTAACATTAAAGAAAATCTTATCCTGGACCAGGAAAACAAAGCAAGAACTAATGTTGATCAGAGTCACACAATCAGAACAGACATGTGGATTAAAATGCTAAATAAGTTACAAAGCTAGGATATATGCATGTGTGAGAGTCCAGATCAGGATTTACATATCCATGTTTGGGATAAAAAATAGTGCACAGTGGAGGCTGTCTTTCAGGTGCTTGTGCATTTTATCGTGGTCATTGCCATTGCTGACAGGTACATTCTAGTCAACTCCAGAGAGTGTATACATATTTAAAAAAGAAAAATAGTTGCTTTCCTATTGTCCAATGATCGGCTTATGTTTACTTTTTTTTTTTTCTGTAAACCTACATGCAGTCCTCTTAATGAGTAGGCTTGTTAAGTCTAGATTTACTACTAATTGCAAAAGGAAAAACAAAAAATCCCAACCCCAAAACCAAGAAGTTCACAGAGAAAAATAAGAGGACTTGAGAACCAGAAGGAATGCATTAATACACCTGTATTTTCCTGACTGGAACACCCCCTTGAAAGGTAAGAGGACAATGTACATGGTGCATCATAAATCTTAAAGAGTTTTTAAACATTTTGATAATCTCAATTACTAAACTTGGCTCAACTGTAGGAACTGAGCATTAAATAAATGCAGATACCCATGCTGAATAGATTTTTCTTTACTATTAGTTCTTTCTTCTAAGCAAAGAACCTACCCATGAGCTGTTTTAAGTTCCCATAAATAAATTGTGGAAAATGCAGTTTTAACAATGAAGTTCCAGATTCACCCTTCTTTAGTGGACTGCATGTCATTGATTTCCATATCTCTCCATTCTAAAATTTAGATCTTCAGTAATGTTTTCACAGATTTTACTTGTTTTGAAAGATTTATCATTCATAGTCCAATAATAGTAGTTGTAGTCCTTTTTCTTAATCACTATTCACTTCTTTGTTTTTTCTGTGCTAAAACATAAATTAAGTTTTCCCACATTGGTAGTTTCTTTCTTTCTTTCTTTTTTTTTTTTTTTTTTTGTTTTGTTTTGTTTTTTCTTTTCAATATTCTGGACTTGATTGAATTTTTCTCATTTAGGTCTAGGATGAGACACTCAGATGTTAAATCAACTGACTTTTAAAAATTAGGACAAAATACTATCTCTAAGTTTTAAATATTTTTAATAACAAGTTAATTGGTTGAATAGGGATATCTAATTATATTCAATGCATCAATGTGTTAAGCAGTGCCCTTGTAAATTGTGATTAATAGCTTTAATTTTCAAAGTATTTTATGCTCAATAGATGCTTCCTAGCCATCTGGGAAGGGA